GCTCCTATGATGCTGCTTGGCCTGCTGTGTTCATCCAGCCCTGCACCTTGTTGTCTCTTAAAATATTCTTCATTGGCTCTGAAGCACTTTGGGACATCCCGAGAATGTGAACGATGCTTTTTATGTGCAGGTTCCTTTTTTCTTTGAATTGACTTTACAGGAAATGTGACCAGTTAACAAGAATTGTCCATATGTGAATTCGAGGTTTAATATCTTATACAAGCATGTGTATTGCATCACTAACTCATACCAAGTCTGAATATGATGGTGACTGATACGAGACTCTTCCTCTTCTCGGAAGACTATATGAAGAAAAGTGCAAATGTACGGCTTTTTTAAAAAAGTAACAGTATTCAAGGATTGCAAATTATTAAAGTTTAACATTGCAATGTTACAGTGTTATCACCATGAAGCATCAAACAGAGGCTGCATACAAACCTTACAGGAAGTGAGGGAGTTATTATCAATAACAACAACAAAAACAGAAGTTGCTGGAAAAGCTCAGCGGGTCTGGCAGCATCTGTGAAGAAAAGAAACAGAGTTAACCTTTCGGGTCCGATGAATTTTGCTCAGAACTTCATTTCAAAACCTCAGTAATTACTAACATAGCTTTATATATATGAGCAGAATATACAACAAGTATTCAGCAGGTCAGGCAACAGTTTTCACTTTGTTCCTTCCTCCACAGATGCTACATGATTTTTTTGAATATTTCCAGCATTTTTATATTTCAGACTGATATATAAAAGCAAAATATAGCAGATCCTATGTGGAAAGCTTTGAAATCTAGACTTTTTAGGTAAAGTCACTGAACAGGCCCTCATAAAGATCATATTCAAGAAGGTGTGAGTCAGAATAGAACTACAATCAGTTCCAATTCTGTGGCTCTTGCTCACTTTGACGGTACTCAATGCAGTATCTTCTAAGTTGTCTTTAGATGTTGCTTTTCACTGTCATTAATTAAACCATTGCAACTTAATGAGATCAATTGACAATGGCTTCACTTTTCTTAACTCTGAACTTGAGAATCTGACCATTCTGCAATAAAATCTGATGTGACTGAATTTCTATGAATGCAGCAAGGTTGTTGTCTCAAAAAGCCTAATGTTGACCTTGTTAATGGGGGAATATTGGTATCCTTTGGTAGCTTTCTCATTAAAAATAAAACAGACCCAGACCTGTCTGCTCCTGTTGTGATTCTGAAGTGAATGTGAGACTTTCACACAGTTGTCTTGTCGCTGCACTTGGAGCTGGGTCTTGAAACTCAACCTTTCAAGGCAAAGCATTTGATGAGTTACTAAGAATGCAAACAATGAGTTTCTCTTTTCACCAAACACGTGTCAACAATCAGTGAGTTTTGTCCATTAGAGTACAGCCTGATAAGAGATGGTAAATATATTTTTTTTAAACTGAGTTCAGAAATAATTACTGCAGCATCCACATTTATTATCTAATTTCTGCTCTTTATGATATAACATATGCACATGTTCAAAACGTATGGTAAACCAGGTCTATGAAAGAAGATCATTTCTTCATGAATATTTAAACTCATGCAATTTACTTTTGAGTCAAGATTACGTTAGAGCAGAGATTCATTTTGGTTTTAGTTTATAATGAGAATGATTCCTTGGAACCAATTAATTCAGAAATACCTTCAGAGATAGTAGGAACTGCAGATGCTGGAGAATCTGAGATAACAAGGTGTTGAGCTGGATGAACACAGCAGACCAAGCAGCATCAGAGGAGCAGGAAGCCTTCCTGCTCCTCTGATGCTGCTTGACCTGCTGTGTTCATCCAGCTCTACACCTTGTTAATTCAGAAATACCCTTGTGCAGGGGCAGTTCAAAATATAACTGTCAGGAGATAATATAAACTTATAGCTCTACTTGTAAAATGTGAAAAGTATTTGAAGCCTCTGAATCTAAAATGATAATGGTTAAAATAAAACGTGCTCTACTTCTTCAATAGTATTACTGGTACATTAAACAGATCCAACTGTGCAAATGTTTACTTTCCAGTTCAACATGGCTCTGATCATCTTAACCTGTATAAGTGAGTGTAGTCAAGGGAGTATTTTCCATCCTACCAATTTGATGGGAGATGTGATGAGAATATAACAAAACATCCAGAGTTACTGGCTTTGCGAAGTTGCACGTTTGGTTCTCAAAGGTGTTCAAGGGAAATCAGATTCACAACTTGTAGAAAGTTAAGTAATTTCAAAGGCCCTGAAATTGAATAATCCATTTCCCTGTCCTCCAATCAGCTCACACTCAACTCAATTGCTGTACATGTATCAAACAGGAATTTACAAATTCAACATGTCCGATTTCACTCTAAATAATTTTACATTGATTTTCAGTAAATTGAAAGCCATCACCATGCTTACTCCATTCCTGATTAGTAACTTCTAATGCAATCTAACTGTGTCTTCTGATCAAAATGGCCCAAACTCAATCACCATTGTGTCAAATCCTCCAATGAAATTGTTTTTATTTCTTTCAGATTTCCTAAAGTTAACCAATATGAAGTCATTCCTATTCAGATTATTTGAAGGCGGCAAAATGGGAACCATTGAAAGAACTTCAGTTCCTCATTCTCAGGGACAAATGAGAGCTGTCTCTGAACACGGAGAGGTGTTTCCTGTCTGGAATTTAGGAGAAAAAGGTAAAGTTTTTAAAGGGCAATAAATATTTGGAATAAAAATTTTCCAAGCATGGTATTACATTTCAAAGTGCTGCAGTGTTCAGAATCCAATAGTACTAGAGCAACAAGCTGTAAAGAGGGATGGGTCATAGAGTCATAGAGATGTACAGCATGGAAACAGATCCTTCAGTCCAACTCGTCCATGCCAACCAGATATCCTAAATTAATCTAGTCCCATTTGCCAGCATTTGGCCCATTTCCTTTTAACCCCTCCCTATTCATATACCCAAGCAGATGGCTTTTAAATGCCATTATTGTATCAGCCTCCAAAACTTCCTCCAGCAGCACGTTCCATACACACACTACCCTTAGAACTGAAAAAGTTGTCCCTGATGTCCCTTTTAAATCTTTCTCCTCTCACTGTAAACCTATGTCCTCTAGTTTTGGACTTCCCTATCCTGGGGAAAAAATCTTGGCTATTCACCCTATCCATGCCCCTCATGATTTTGCAAACCTCTATAAAGTCACTCCTCAGCCTCTGACGCTCCAGAAAAAATAGCCCCAGCCTATTTAGCCTCTCTCTATAGTTCAAACCCTCCAACGCTGGCAACATCCTTGTAAATCTCTTCTGAACCCTTTCAAGTTTCACAACATCCATCCTACAGTACAGAGACCAGAACTACCCACAGTATTCCAAAAGTGGCCTAATCAATGTCCTCTACAGCTGCAACACGACCTCCCAACTCCTATACTCAATGCACTGACCTATAAAGGCAAGCATACCAAATGCCTTGTTCACCATCCTTTCTACCTGTAACTCCACTTTCAAGGAACTATGAACTTGCACTCCAACATCTTTTTGTTCAGTAACATGCCCCAGTACCCAACCATTAAGTGTTTATGTGCTGCCCTGGTTTGCCTTTCCAAAATGCAACACCTCACATTTATCTAAATTAAACTCCATCTGTCACTCCTCGGCCCATTGACCCATCTGATCAAGATCCCATTGTACTCTGAGGTAACCTTATTCACTGTCCACTACACCTCCAATTTTGGTGTCTCTGCAAACTTACTAACCATACCTCTATATTCATATCCAGATAATTTATATAAATGACGTAAATGCAGTGGAACCAGCACCGATCCTTGTGGCACACCGCTGGTCAAAAGTCTCCAATCTGAAAAACAACCCTCCACCACCACCTTCTACCTTCGAGCCAGTTCTTTATCCAAATGGCTGGCGCTCTCTGTATTCCATGTGATCTAACTTTGCTAACCAGTCTGCAATGAGGAACCTTATTGAACGCCTTACTGAAGTCCATATAGATCATGTCAGCCTCTCTGCCCTCAACAATCCGTTTTGATACTTCTTCAAAAAACTCAATCACTTTAGCGAGACTCGACTTCCCATGCACAAAGACATGTTGACTAGCCCTAATCAGTCTTTGCATTTCCAAATACGTTAATTCTGTCCCTCAGGATTTCCTCCAACAACTTGCCCACTGCTGGTGTCAGGCTCACCAGTCTACAGTTCCCTGGCTTTTCCTTACCACCTTTCTTAAATAGTGGTACTACGTTAGCCAATCTGTAGACATCTGGCACCTCACCTGTGGCTATCAATGATACAACCATCTCAGCAAGGGGCCCAGCAATCACTTCCTTAGCTTCCCACAGAGTTCTAGGGTACACCTGAAAAGGTCCCAGGGGTTTATCCACCTCTATGCAATTTAAAATATCCAGAACCTCCTCTTCTGTAATACGGATATTTTTCAAGATGTCGCTATTTACTTCCCCACGTTTTCTATCTTCCATATCTTTCTCCACAGTGAATACTGATACAAAATACTCATTTAGCATCTTCCCAATCTCCTGCAGTTCCACACATAGGCTGCCTTACTGATATTTACAGGGCCCTATTCTCTCCCTCATTACCCTTTTGTCCTTAATGTAGTTGTAGAATCCCTTTGGATTCCCTCTAACCCTTTTTGCCAAAGCTATCCCATGTCCCCTTTTTGCCCTCCTGATTTCCCTCTTAAGTATACTTCTACCGCCTTTATACTCTTTTAGCGAATCACTCAATCTCTGCTGTCTATATGGGAAATATATACGGGAAATATGCTTACTTCTTATCCTTGATCAAAACATCAATTTTCCAAACATAGACTGGGACTGCCAAAGTGCTAAGGGCTTGGATGGAGATGGAATTTGTTAAGTGTGTACAAGAAAATTTCCTGATTGGGTATATGGATGTACCTACTAGAGAAAGTGTTAAACTTGACCTACTGTTGGGAAAAAGGCAGGGCAGGTGACTGAGCCGTCAGTGGGGATGAACTGTGGGGCCATTGACTGTAATTCTATTAGTTTCAAAATAGTGATGGAAGAGGATAGACCGGATGTAAAAGTTAAAGTTCTAAATTGGAGTAAGGCTAATCTTGATGGTATTAGGCAAGAACTTTCAAAAGTTGATTGGGGACGGAGGTTCGCAGGTAAAGGGACGACTGGAAAATGGAAAACCTCTAAAAATGAGATAACGAGAGTGCAGAGACAATATGTTCCTGTTAGGGTGAAGGGCAAGGCTGGTAGGTGTAGGGAATACTGGATGGCTAGAGAAATTGAAGTTCACCAAAGGTTTTTGTCTTCCACTCATCAAGACATGCACAAGAATGTCAATTTTTTTGAAAAACAACTACGACAGAAGAAAACGGTTTTGATTGCTAGCTGGTTGAGTCGGATTGCCTAAGGCAATTCCATGGAGTAACCAGTGAAGAGCCATAGGTTCCTCATGCTCCCGGGTAATTCAAAAAAGAAGGTGCAAGGATTGGCTACATTCCTTTTGATGGCAGAGAAAAGGTGAATGCATATCACTTGTAGCAAACATAAATAAGTGATGTTATGGCCTTGACTCATAAATTGATTGTGAATGTCGGCAGTAATGCATTCAGGATTGTTTAATAAGTGCAGTGTTAAGTCAGTGCTATTTTCCACAAATACCATCTAATTGAGGAACATCATGTATGATTATCAATATTTGGTATGTTGCCAATTACATGGGTCATATGTTCCGATGTTTGTCTGATTTAATCAAATAACATGGTTGTAATAGGCAAAGTATAGACTGTACTCAACCAGCCCATGCTTGCAAAATCCAATACAAGTGGCCACTGAGAGATGGGATTCTGTGATTTGGCAGCACTCGTGGAATAATTCTGAGTGTGCTAAGAGCTACAATAGCTAACTTTAAGGTAAGATGATCAATATTAGATAATCAGTCAAGCTCATAGTGTAGCTTAATCACATTTACTAGAAGCAATCTATATTTATATACAGTGACACAGTCTTTACAAACAAAAGGAAATGCATCCGGGCCTTTATCCTTTTGAACTATTTAAAACCATGAGAGCCTACTGTTTTCTCCTTGGTAATGCTTTGGCCAATCATAGTCAATTTATCAACCAATCAGCACCCTTTTTCTCTTGTGGTATAAAGTGTTTTAATCATTTGAAATTTGGCATTCTTGTATTTGTTTTGATGACAATGTGTCTCTCTTTTCATGAATGTTCAAGTTCTGTACTACCAAGCTACTGAGAGTTACAGGGTTTGATGGGATCAATAGTCTCTTTATCATT